CGTGGTAGTGTACATGACTCCAGAATATTCCGAGAATGTAGACTAAAACAGAGGTTTGAGGCTGGTGCATTCTCTGGAATATTACTTGGTGACAGTGGCTATCCTTGTACTCCTTACCTATTTACACCGCTGCTGAACCCCACAACACCACAAGAAGAAAGATATAATAGGAGCCATATCCGTACCAGAAACACAGTGGAAAGATGTTTTGGTTTGTGGAAGCAACGGTTTCGTTGCCTATTAAGAGGTATGTTTGGAGATATTGAAACAGCAAAAAAACAATTGTTGCATGTGCTGTACTACACAATATGGCCATCGACATGAGAGAAGATGTGTTTTCTGGTGAGAGAGATAGCATTGAACAATATTCATCTGAACCTATAGTACAAAGATATATTACACCGTCAATAAGGGGAAATATTAGAAGAAGACAGTTTATTGAAACTCATTTTCAGTAGGTAAACATTTTTTTTACATATTTATATAACTATTTATAATTAAAATTTATAATTATATTTATAAAATTGTCAAATTTTTTTCAATTGTCTAAAGCTATGTATATATAATTTATTTTATTTTGTTATTCAGAGGCCAATTTTGGCTATAAAATTACATTAAAGATCAATAAATGTATAAGACAATTATAATAATATTTCTTTTTGATTTCAGACATAATACCCATTTATAAAGGAAAATATTTCTGCAGAGCCGTTGTCAGCTGTCAAAGAATAACGACTACATATTCACCAATATGAAATAAATTCAGGGGAGTATTGTGATAATATTTCATTTATTGAGCAAAATGCTTTTATTTAGGCTATAAATGATTGTGTTTCAGGGAAAGATGCGGGGTACAGCACATTCCACATCAATATGAAGCTATATTATATAAAGATTTAAGTGCTGAAGAGATATGTTTAGATTTTTTAATAAATATCGTCCCTCCTCTACATTCACAGCCGGATTTCCTTTCCAGAGGTGCAAGGGTCCACGGGGAGTAGGACTGTATGATAACTAAGTAAATAGGTTTAGTTTTTTTTATTATAGTTTTTTACTATTGTATATTATATTTCATTGTTATGTAAATAAAATGCATATTAATTATAATTATTTATTTTAATTATTAATAAAAGATGTACAAATATTTGCAGCAATTAAGTACCTGAAAATAATAGTTTCATATATGAGGATATTTACAAACATGTATCTGATATAGTCTCAAATATTTAGTTTTTTTTTTTTATAGGATAATGGTGATAAACACAGTCTACCACACACACACACACACACACACACACACACACACACACACACACACACACACAGTCCATCTGATGTTAAGTAACTGCTGTGGTGCATAGACGTCCACATCTATCCTCGACTACAAATCAAAATGCAGATGCGTTGTCACCCGTGTGGAGTAAGATGGAATGCCTCGTTTCCTGTAAAAGAGGTCTCTCTCATACAAAATTTGTACAAAAATTTATCCAAAATTTGTCAATAAACAAGTTTAAATGTTTTATTAAAGAAAAATTTTATAAAAAGGTTATTATAATATCAAAGAATACATAAATGAAAATATTGGAAATACTGGAATTGAGGTGATCGCCACCATGGTGGTTCTATTAAAATTCATTTAAAAATTGTACAAATAAAATTATTGTTAAGAGAAATATGTTTATAAAAAAGTCCCACTGGGTTTCTTACTAGTTCTTCCCAGGACTGAGGTATTTTCCGAACCAGTGGTAAATAAAAAATGTCTTTCAATAAGTATTCTGTAATAATCTATATTTAATAAAAATCATTCTATTCTATTCTCGTTCTATAAACTCACCATAATAAACAGCAGCATTAAGCTGCTATTTAACTTGTGTTTTTCTGACTTTCTAATAAAGATATTTGTAACTCTAATTTTCTAATTTTTAGGTTAGCTATTTTAATATTGTATTTATGTTCCTCTTCCATCATTTCCAGTTGTCTTTTTTTAAAATCTGTGTTACTTTTTACAATTGTTTGGTGTACATCTTCTCTTCTGTAAAATGAAATGGAATACTTAATGTAAGTTTTGTAGTTATTTTAGACATTTACAAAGTATTCTAGAGTAATAAAAGTGCACTTAACCTTGTACACCAATTAAAGAAATATTTTTTAATTATTTTTAAATCAATTCATATTAAACTTTGCTTTTAATATTTGAAAACATGAAACAATTTTCAGTGTTTAAATACTAATTTTCACATTTTAAAAAGTATGTAATGTATCAGACTATGTAATTTTTTCAACATACCTATTTTGCAAGCTATTTTTCCTGTTTTTAATTTTTGTTATACCCCTAGTAATAATATCTTTATTGTTGGTTATTTTCACCATTTTGGCACTTTCTTCTGTATCTGTAGTTGGATCTATCTCTAAAAATTAATATAAATATAATAGTTTTAGAAAATTAACATTTATAATATTTACAAACTTGTATGCCTATGATTGTAACTATAATAATAATATATTTTGCTTTTTAATAAATATTCAATCAGTATTATTTACCTTGCACATATACAACATTGGGTTCTGGATTTTCTACATTTTTAACTATAGCTGTGTCTGTTTTTTCAAAATTAAGGCGAGGCTTAGGGTCAGCAACTTCTTTTGATGTTGTAGCCACAGTCACTGGATCCTAAAATAAATCATTAAAACATTTATTAACATGTTTTCCTGTCACCTGTCACCTCTATTTTGCCCTTTATTGAATCAGGTATTTTCTATGTTGTAGAAATATTATTATGATCCAAGACAAAAGGTAATTTAATAAATTATTAATTATAATACCTAATAGACAAAAATAGAAAATTATAATCGGACTGTGTAGATAATCTAGTAACATGTGTGTTATGATATTATATAGACCACTATATATTAATTTGTGACATTTCAATTTTGAATATAATTAATTATAAAGAAATTTATGTTAAATTGTTACTAAGTATATTAAATTTTGAATATTCGGAAAATAATTTTGGATTGTAAATTGTATGCTTTAAGAGTAGATTTCAGAGCACTACCTAGGTACTAAAGTAATGGAAAATAAAGTTCTTTAATTTTAATTAAATTTGTAAGACATGTAAGTAATTTTATTTACCACTGCATCACTATCATAATTATTAACTTCAACGATAAAATCGTGAGGGGCAATGGACATTATTTCCAAGTCCTCAAGAGAAGGTGATGGAGGTTTTCCGCCACCCCCGGTCTTTGATTGTTCCCTCCTATATGTGTATAAGTTTGATTTAGCACACAACTTCATTCTTTTCCAAGATAATGTCAATTCACCATCTGATCGCCGTTTACCTGTTATCTCATTAAATCTAAAAAAAAATACGAAATCACGTAAACAATACCGTACCTATTTGTACACATAACAAATGCGATAAGTACTTACTTATTAGTTATATTCTTCCACTCTTTTATTTTTTGAATATTTACCGATGTTTTTGTCGACTTATTCTCTATTATATGTGCTGATTGTGAAATAAGTGAACGTAATATTTCCTATAATAATAAGAACATTCCTTTTAGTTGAAATAAGGATAATAGGAGGATAAGACAAATAAATTACGATATTTCACTAACTTTTTCTTCAGAACTCCAATTTTCACCCCGTTTTTTCTTTTGTTCCATTATTATATAAATATAACTGTAATAGCAAGTACTTAATTAATTATTAATAATTTAATTTACTTATTATAAGGCTGCAATATAAACTATTTTGAACGTCTCGAATCCCGCGCTCGCGTTACCTCTGTAATTCACTACGTTTCACGCTAGAGTTGTTAAACTGAAAACAACTTGATATAATCAAAAGCGCGTCAAAAGTATATGTCGTGCTTGTTCAATAGATTTTAACGTAAACAAATAACAATGTATGATATGTTTTTGTATTGATGGATAATTATTTAAGCATAATTAAGTGTGAAAATAATATTAATATTTTATGAAACCGAACGTTGCATTGAATGAAACCTGTATGAACGAATGATAGAGTGTCATTTTTTGTTTTTTATCTGTGAATGATATTTAATATAATACTAACGTTGGTATTAACTGGTCCTCGGGTAGTCTGCGTTTTGTAATAAGCACACGTTTTAGTGCTGGTATTAACTAGAATATTGTAACAAACTTGGACTTCTTACTCCTAAACTTAACCCAGTACTAAAACATTTTTTTGGAATAAGACTGTTGAACTTTTGATTATATTCAAGTCATACCATGAATATCATGAAATTTACATGTTTTTCATTTGTTGATAGATTTATGTTACTTTATTAACCGATTTCATTGCATTTTTATGAAATTCTATATACATTAATTTTGATAGTATACTTTGGAATCTCAGAATAGCAAAGAAAGATAAAAAGATGCCTACGTAGATATTAACTACATCAAGTGACGCTGAAACCATGCTCTATTACATGACATGCACTCTCGCACACATATTTCTCCTTTCTTTATTTATCAGCCCGTAAGAGTCCACTGCTTACGCACACATATGCACTTAAAACCATGCTGTTGGTTGCGTTTTATTACAATAAATTGAGCACGTTTTCGGCATGGTTTCGACGTGACTGGAAAACGTATACGTAGTGTTTTGTTTATCTTTCTTTTTGGTTTGAGTTTGAAATATTAAGAAATAAAGGTGGAAATACTATTAGGGCGCCTTTCCATGACACGCACCCGCTACGCGCACGTCACGCGCGTCTAACTCGCTTTGAAATTTGTTGCATATAATTTTCTTTTTGATGATTATTCTTTTTTGCAATTTGAGGTTTATTGATTTGTCATAAGACTCAAATTATATGCAACAAATTTCAAAGCGAGTTAGACGCGGGTGCTGACGCGCGTGGCGTGCGCGTACCGGGTGCGTGTCGTCGGAACGCGCCCTTACGGCTAGGCATTTATAACACCATTAATATGATTAATCGTAATTAATATTGGTTCTTTTTCATTAGTACCAAGTGGCCCAGTTATATTGCGTGGCTGAGGTGTCCAAAAATGAAACGGGAGGCGGAGAGGGGATCGAAGTCGTCAAAAATGAACCCTTCAAAGACTACCCATTGCTTGGTAAGTATTTTCATGTTAGTCTAGTTGCGCCTAGTCTTTATATTCATAAGAAGCTTTTTTAGAATCCACTTCTAGAACTTTTTAAAATGCGTTATACGTCACGCATGTCTGGTAAAAGATTTGCCCATACCATGCATGGCAGGTGAGTTAGTTACCGCAAAACTAATATTACCTATGCATTTTTTCTAGGGAGAAAGTTGCGATAAAACTTTGAAGATCTAGACTCAGTCTGTAAAGGCATTTTGTATCGCTTCCTCAAAACAATTATTTTCCTTGCTGAAAATAGTCCAAATTGTGAAAAAAAATGGTTGTCGGTTGAGTCTAAGTCTTTCTAGTTCAGGGGATGATGTTTGGGTTTCTGCTTGTTGAGAAAACAGTTAACATTAATTTTCCACAGGCCGACTTCGTATTTGGTATTTGATCTTATTCACCTGCAATTACCGTAGAAAATCCACTTTTCGTCATACGTCACAAGTCCAAAATCCCTATCCCAAAAACGCGTGTTCTACTATGCACATCAGGTAATTTATGAGGCACCCATTTCTTGAGTTTGTTTTTACTTTACCAATATTGTGGCAATGACTCAATATTGTAGATAAACGAACGTTAAACTTTGACGCTAATACCTTGGTAGTTTGTAAGAATAGGCTTCTATCATAACTTTTAATTCATCATTATTTATCTGATCTTCCTCGTGGTTTATTCTTCTTGTCGAATTTTCTACTACGAAAGCGATAAAATCAAAAACGCTAAGTCGTATCTATCAAACGCAAAGCAGTATTGATATCTCGGACTGTCTCTGATACATTAAACCACGTCGGGACTCGTATTCGAAAATTACTCTAATTTTTGAGGTCTCCATGTTTAACTCTTATATTGAATGTAAAAAGAATTGAAAAGCACACAATAGTATCAAATCATCAAAGTCAAAAAATTTTTGAGCATTGAATATTATTATTTTTATTAAAAAAAAAGTTTTAATTACTTAGATCGATGCAGGTTTAATTTTAATGTTGCCACTCAATTGGAACGGTGACTTCATACTTTAACCTCTATTATAATATGATATTATCATCAATACACCATAAGCGTGTATTTATCGATATCAAATAGTAATGTATATTTACAACACCTTGTCTATCTGACTTGTTTTATGTTATAATACATATTATGAACAAAGCGTTGATTTTGTCGGATGACTCTCAGACGGTTGCCCTCGTGCTTGTCCTCGGCCTCTGTTCAGGGTCTTTCCAGTTTTTGGTTCTGCGCATATAACAGACCAAATTACAATAACTGTTGTGTTTTTTTGTTCACGATACATTTTAAATTAACCAGTATATTCATTTAAAGACTATAATATGATGAACACAATAACAGGCGTAAACTGCATTTGCGTTAGTAATTATCTGCACTTAAAAGATTTACGTATTGTACTTTGTACACATGAAGTTGTATTAAAAGAAATAATCAAAAGGATAATAAAAATACATGTGATAGATCAATAAAAAAATATATTAATATGAAAATAAACATGAACAATGAAAATTACAAGATAAGAGCATGGTATATTCATGTAGTATCAATTTATTTGTCTTGACTAATTTCTATGGGCTTTTAACTGTTGCTGTGAAATGACTTAAAAATAAATCGACCTCTCCAACGATCGTTTCTAAAACGACTTTATAAATTACAATAAAATATATGTAAATTTTTGTTATTTTTATGTACATTTCATCAAAAGTACTATGAATTTTCAAAGGGACTTGATGTCTTAGTAGAATAGAAGGTAGGTAATTTTTACGACAATGAATTATTCCTGTATGTTGTTGAATAGCAACGTTGGCAGAGCGTGTGGGTTTCTATAACTTAACTATACAGGTATCATATTTGTACGTTTACACAGTTGCATGAGCATTTGCTCAGGTGGCGTCATCGTTAATGGCTATTGAGTGATAAGTTCGAAACAAATCCCCTTTCGGAGCTTAAATTTGCATTAATGCTCGTTGGTCTTAAGTGCGACTGCTGGTGTCGGATTAGAATCTCAGGTCGGGCGAAAATCAGTTTTCTGTCAAAATTCTCAGTAGCACCCCGGGGTCGGAAAGTTATCGGTATCTCATCCCCGTGCCTTGGAGCAATTGTTCTTTCGCCTTATCTTGGCTGTGTTTCATCGCTCAGAATAAGTGAAAAGAGATTGCGCCTGTGCTTGTGCACACACTCGTGCACTATAATCCGGTCCATAGGATATAGGCTAGTCTCCGTTAAAACTGTCCGCGCTGTGACCGAATTGTATATTAAATTGGGTATATTGTGTTATTTTTTTGTAGCAATCTTATACTAGTAAATTTTGGGAGGCAAAAGTCTTACAAATGATAACGTTCGTAATAATTATTTCACACAGTTAAAATTAATTAACCATGTAGTGGCGATGCAAGAACATTTGCAACCCCATATCGTTCTGTAGGTGTCGTAAGACGCGAGAGAGAGAGAGAGAGAGAAACTGAAACAGGAAATCTGCGGTTGCAAAATCTCTATGAGGCAATCTATGGATGATACTTGTTTCGCAGTGGACTTTTATAGGCTATAAGAGTATTAATTATTTAAATGTATCTACACCACAATCTACACATTTACAAATGTATCTCCTAAAAATAAAAATAAAAGTATGATGACTCGGTAGCGAAGTGGCTGAGAGTTTGACCGCGGTGCTACGGATTACAGGTTCTAATTTCGCACGGAACAAGTATCTGTATGGTCTACAAATAATTATTCCGGGTATGGGTGTAAGCCCATTTTACCACGTTTTTATTAACTCGCTTCGGGTCTACGATCTTAGTTATTCATTTAAAACTAACTTCCCCATGAGGTAGAGCCTTTTGCTAGAGAAATTTTGAACATATTCGGATGACAATGTAAAAATATGAAAAATAATACTTTTTAGTCTGTTTTTAATACGTGGTATATATAAAAATATATATATATATATATATATATAAATAATGTCAAACGCCTCTTCAATAAATAAATAGGTACATGTTGTAAACAAGTTGTTTACACTAACAATCTATTTTATGTTGGTTTTTTTAAAGATTTACAGTACTTAATGATGTGCTTCATTCTAGGTGGTAAATATTCATCAGGGCAGTATACATACAAAATATATCACTTGGCGTCGAAGGTGCCCGCCTTCATCAGACTGCTAGCACCAAAGGGCTCCCTAGAGGTCCATGAAGAGGCGTGGAACGCATACCCTTACTGCCGGACTGTACTTACGGTGAGTAAACGTTCCAAATCTGACTATTGCTATCGTAATATATCAGTATTCAGTAGTTGCAGTTTCGACTCAGTTTCGCTACGAAATATCTTGTTAGGACTTCCTAAAACTTGAAACCGATGGGACGATAATATAATATCCAAAAAATACAGCGTTGTTTTTTTTTTATAGGACAGGTGACAAACGAGCACACAGTCCACCTGATGGTAAGTGGTTGCTGCGGCCCATAGATATCTACATCTATCCTCGTTTGCGAATCAAAATGCAGATGCGTTGTCACCCGTGAGGACTAAGATGGAATGCCTCATTTCCAGTAAAAAGGGCCTCCGGCCACCTGCACTCACCAAGCGAAACGCAGAGGTAAACCTCTACTTCACGCTGGTATTCTGTGAGGTCGTGGTACCACCTCGGTTCGAGCCGGCCCATCCGTGCGACAGCAATTCTGCCGCGTGCATCTACCATTGTTAGACTAGACTAGTTTTACAACATGCTCGACTTTTCCGAGGCCAAGTTTGCAGAACATTTGTTTCGAATAATTAAAATTAATGTTTATGATACATAGTAATAATACAATATTTTATAAATATCAATATCAGTTTTCTAATTTAAATAATCAAAAGTAAAATCACTAGTTTGTAATAAAAAAGAGTTAGTCAAGGTTGCTCGTGTACTGTGGGGCTATTATAATATAAATTATTACATGGTTATAATTTGGAAAAGGGCAACCTAAGGGGCCAGCAGCTGGCCGACTTCATGGAGAAAGAGGGACTCTTTATGATGAACTCTTTCTTCCAGAAGCGGCCCCACAGGAAGTGGACCTGGTCGAGCCCCGACGGTTCGACAAAAAATGAGATTGACTTCATTATGACGACCAGACGACAACTGTTCAGTGATGTCTCCGTGATCGCGAGGGTGAAAACTGGTAGCGATCACCGAATGGTTAGAGGCATACTGAACCTAAACGTTAAGTTGGAGAGGTCTCGTCTAATGAAGTCAACGCTCCGTCCCCCTCGTGCTCTAATCCAAAGTCCCGAAACCTTTCAGCTCGAGTTACAAAACCGTTTTCAGTGCCTAAAAGACTGCAATGAAGTGGACGATTTGAATGACAAGCTCGTGGAAACTGTCCATGCGGTCGGAGCTAAGTTCTGCAAGACCCGCCGCAGAAGAACACAAAAACTCTCCGATCACACTCTTAATCTCATGGCTGTTAGACGGGAGATGAAGCTACATCCTTTAACAGACTTGACAGCATACAGGCATCTGAACAGACAGATCTCCGAATGCATGCGGCGGGACTTACGCAACTTCAATACAGCTTGTATTGAAGAAGCGATCGAGCGGAACCAAGGCTCCAAAGTCTTTGCCAGAGATCTGTCTGCCAGAAAGAGCCAACTGTCAAAGCTGAAGACAGAATGTGGCAGCATCGTTTCCGGGACACCTGAGATTTTGAGTGAGATTGAGAGGTTCTATGGGCAGTTGTACACGTCATCGTTGGAGCCACACGCAAGTGTGAGTAACGATCCAAGAGCGAGTCTCATCCGACACTATTCCGAAGATATCCCGGACGTCAGTCTGAGCGAGATTAGAATGGCTCTCCAGCACCTTAAAAACGGTAAGGTCCCAGGCGAGGATGGAATTACAGCGGAGCTTCTGAAAGCGGGTGGAAAACCGGTACTTGAAGTCCTTCAGAAGCTCTTTAATTCCGTCCTCCATGGTGGCATTACACCGGAGGCGTGGAGCAGAAGTGCGGTGGTCTTGTTCTTCAAGAAAGGTGACAACGCTCTCTTGAAGAACTACAGACCGATTTCCCTTCTGAGCCGCGTCTACGTGCTGTTTTCGAGAGTCATTACGAATCGTCTTGCGCGCAGACTTGACCACTTCCAGCCTCCCGAACAAGCCGGTTTCCGAAAGGGCTTTAGCACCATAGACCACATACATACCCTTCGGCAAATTGTACAGAAGTCCGAAGAGTACAATTTGCCACTATGTCTGGCGTATGTGGACTATGAGAAAGCCTTTGATTCCGTCGAAATTTGGGCGGTGCTGCAGTCCCTTCAGCGGTGCCAAGTTGACTGTCGGTATATCGAAGTGTTGAAGTGCTTGTACAGTAGGGCTACGATGGCTATCCGAGTACAGAACCAGAGTACGAAACCTATCTATAATTGCAGAGAGGTGTAAGACAGGGTGACGTCATATCCCCGAAACTCTTCACCGCTGCATTGGAAGACGTTTTCAAGCTTCTGGACTGGAAAGGATACGGTATCAACATCAATGGCGAGTACATCACTCACCTTCGATTTGCCGACGATATAGTCCTTATGGCAGAATCGCTGGAGGACCTAAGCACTATGCTCAATGACCTCAATAGTGTTTACCAACGGCTAGGTCTTAAGATGAACATGGACAAAACAAAGATCATGTTTAATGTCCATGTCACACCTATGCCGGTAGTTGTTCGGAACACTAAGCTCGAAGTTGTTGACGAGTATGTTTACCTGGGACAAATAGTCCGACTAGGTAAGTCCAACTTCGACCGAGAGGTCAATCGACGGATTCAACTCGGCTGGGCAGCGTTCGGGAAGCTAAGACACATCTTCTCGTCAGACATACCTCAAAATCTTAAAACGAAATTGTACAACCAGTGCGTGTTGCCAGTGATGACTTACGGAAATGAGACGTGGTCCTTCACTGCTGGCCGGATGAGAAAGCTCAAGGTCGCTTAGCGAGCTATGGAGAGGGCTATGCTCGGAGTTTCTCTGCGTGATAAACTTAGGAATGAGGATATCCGCAGTAGAACCAGAGTAACCGACATAGCCCAACGGATTAGTAAGCTGAAGTGGCAGTGGGCCGGCCATATAGCTCGAAGAACCGACAACCGATGGGGAAGAAAGGTTCTCGAGTGGCGGCCTCGTATCGGTAGGCGAAGTGTAGGGCGTCCCCCCACGAGATGGAGTGACGACCTGGTAAGACATGCAGGAAGTCGATGGATGCGGGTGGCTCAAGACCGCGCTTTGTGGCATTCTTTGGGGAAGGCCTATGTTCAGCAGTGGACTTGTGAAGGGCTGTAATGATGATGATGATGACATGGTTATAATAACCCCTGGAAATGAGATAAAAGCTTCGAAGCTGTTTATTAAATACTGTAAAAAAACTGCTGCTTACTGGTTCTTTCTAGGAAGTTCAAAAAAATAATTTGCAGTAGTATGCGGTAATACATAGGTACAGTAATAATTATTCGTATATTGAAATCACTGTGATGTACTCGTATTTTACTACCTAAATTAAATATCATAGTCTAAAAACAAATAAACATAAAATGTAGGCGAGTGTAGCACATAACTACGGGCAATACTTTCATTTTTTGTTTTTAATAAAACAATAGTCTTAACGTAATACAATACCCTTGCAGTAACTGTAAAATGTTACGAGTTTCATATTTCAATGCTATTGTAAAATTACTGGTCGACTGGCTCCCGATTTTCATACGAAGTAAGATTCATATTTCCCATTTGTATGTCGTGCTTATTAAATCCCTCGCCTCTTCCTTAATTAAAGAATGTTTTGAGTATATTTCCTATATATTGTTTCCTCCGGTCTGCTGTCAGTTCTCTTTGTACTCTTGTACATTCCTCCTTTTTCCTTAGAAAAGGTAGAGCCACGCTGCAGCTATATTATGGTTGTGGCACGAATGGTTCGGCTCGTCCGGCTTTCATAGAATACCAGCGTAAAATAGCAGCTTAATACTGCTATGTTTCTTATGGTTGAGTATAGAGAACCGGAGACCCTTTTTACTGGAGATAAGCCATTCCATCTTAGTCTCCAGGGGTGACAATGCACCTGAATTTTAATCCTTAATTGAGGATTAATGTAGATGTCAATGGGTCACAGCATCCAATTATCATTGGGTGCTGTGTGCTCGTTTGTCACTCTTATTTATTTGTGTTGTGTTACTGCTCACATCTTCATATTCATTCATCACAGGCAAATGGCACTGCACAGTCAGTAATTCATTCTTGGGGCAATGTATACGCTATTACAACAAAGTCCCAGAAAATATACAAGGTCTCTCTATTACCAAGTTTAAATATTTAATTAAACAAAAACTGTATAAAAAGGGTTATTATAATATAAATGAATGCATGGTTGATAATAACCCCTAAATGAGGTGGTCGCTTCCAAGCTGTTTCTAAAATAAATTTTGTAAATAGTTTGTAACGATATATTGTAAAATTTTGTTAAAAATAGTCCCGCTGGTTTTCTTGCTTGTTCTTCCCAGGACAGTTTTTTCCGAAGCAGTGGTAAACTAAAAAAATGTATTCAATAAGAATTACTTGTAATAAATATTGAATAAAAAATATCCTAATCTATTCTAAACAATTTCTTCCAAAATCTCAGGTACATATCGTGCTGCTGTTAGTGACCCATTCTCAATGACGCGGAATTTTTTCTCTACGTGCCCCCATACAAATACCTCCGCATACCACAACTGACAATCCACCATATGCCTATTTTCCATGCAATGAGCGTACCTCTTTCCCGTGTGTCTCCACACTTTAATCCTTCCATCATCTGGCTTCAGGCAAAATCTGGACTCGTCTGTGAATAAAACTTGACTACAAGTTTCGCCATTCCAATTTTCGTGATTGCGAGCAAAAATACTTAATTATCAACTTATTGGTGGGGTTCGTTTCTAGTAATATTTCGGGCGCCCGAATAACTTCGTCGACATTTAATACCTTTAGTTTAAATAAAAAAAAAATAAACATGTGTGTAGTTCAATCGTCAAAAGTAAAAATCGTCAGAAAACTAAACTTCGAGAGAATGAGACGAATGCAATGTATCAGGAGTAGGATAAATGTTGTTTATTTATTATAATAGTTTAAAAATAATATTATACATTATATATTATATTATATTATAAATAATAGGAAACACTGTATGCTGTATTCTGTCTCATTCTCTCGCTGGTTAAGTCGATAAATAGATCAGGGTTTCCCAACCTTTTTTTTGACCACTTTGATTTTTTCGTAGTTTGCAGGGACCACATGGTGAAAGAAATAACTGTGTTAATCTATAATATAAAAATGAATCGCTAAATGTGTTGCTAAGCGCAAATCTCGAGAGCAGCTCAACCGATTTTGCTAATTCTTTTTTTATAATATTCCTTGAAGTACGAAGATGGTTCTTACGGAGAGAAAAGTTTAAAAAATTGCCTGAAAAAGTCTAAAAACAACACTTTTCTATATTCCTATACAAAAGATTTATAATAATACTTAAAAGTCAATTTGAACTTTAATACCATACCATAAAGTTTAAATCTTAGTGGAGGGGTTCCGGGAAGGCAAAACATTTGAGTGACGTTAGTATCGTATAAATATTAATGTCAATATTTGTCAATATTTATACACACTGGCAGATAGCTGATGTTATAAGGAGTAACTTAGGCTGCTTTTATTTTAGGGTTCCGCGAAAAATAACTCCACGCGGGCTAAGTCGCGGGGATCAGCTAGTCTAACAATAAATTATAATGACAACTTTTAAGATAAATATGTAATAAACTGAAAAGAAGGATTCATTAACAGTATTATTTGTGTATTTATTGTAAAAGATAGTAGGTACTTACTAACGTGACGCGCGGTATTGCACTGCCCGCGTGACGAGAAAATAATAAATGTGTAATTTAAAACAAGTTAGGTAAAATATTTAAATCTTTCGCGAACCATATTTTAAGCTCTTGCGGACCACTCGTTGGTAATAACTTCTATAGATGTATGTTTGTCCCTTTTTAGCGTCGCTTTTTCGTTTCATCTAGTTTCAAATCAAAACGTTTTGAAACTCGATGAAAAAGAAAAGAAGGAAGTTTTCACTTAAAAAAACAAAACACTTATAAAAGTAAACGCCGACCTTAAACAACTAAAAAGAATAACGCAATTTCACATTTTGAAGCCGAGGCTTAAATTCTTCTATACAAAATGTCTTAGCACCTCAATTTGTTTATCCTTTTGAGAGGACTAAGTTCTATTAAAAACTATCTCCTATTTTGGCACGCTTAGGGGTGGAATTTTTTTAAATTTTATTATGGACATACAATATTGCGGTGCTAACTTTTTTCTTTTAATTAATAATTCACTGCAAGTGTTAGAATTCCAAATCTTTTCATCGTTTTGATTGGACTTTGAAAAGTAGTCGTACTCTTTTTTCGAAAACTTTATCTACGCACTTTATACTGTCCAATTATTGACCTCGATATATAATGTTACTCGATATTAATGTAAACATGTTTTCATTCTCTCTTTCTATTATAAAGTCAACAAAGTAACCAAAGAGCAATGGCAGACTTTCGTACATAAAATTAGTTGAGAAGAAATGGTAGCGTCTATATACCAAAAATATCTTAAAATGTTAAGCGTCAGTCCCTTAATAACTCTGTCAAAGAATTTTGTACTGAGAAGGCGTCAAAAAAAGATATTTACATTTGAACATTTTTAGGTTATGTCCTATGTCACTTGGAAAGAGTCATGCTTCCAGTGACTGTTTGATGTTAGCTTAATAAATAATACATAATTGAGAGTTTTTAGGTTATTGTATCTCTATTATATATTTGCATACTATGAATGTATATTTCTGGCATGGCTCCAGGGCTTTTGTATCATAGTGACATTCTCAGAAAGGCTAGAACCCAGAGCCGTAAAGCCAGTAAAAAAACAGTGACATTTTAATTTAGCTAGTGTTGGCATAACACATTAAATGGAATTGTTACATAGTACTATGATTGAGATAATGTATTATTGTAGGAAATTCTTTGTAAAATACTTATTCTCAGCCATATCACTTTTATTGTTATTATTACTGATAGTACAGTTATTACTAATAATAACTTAATATAAAAATATTTTGTGTGTTGTGTTGGTAGTGTTACAAAGTGTATACGAAAATAGTATGAATATACTAAATGGCAACATTTGAATACAGTAAAATGATTTAAGTCATTTGATATTCCCAAAAATGTTTGTTTTTTTTCTGTGGCTTTAATTAAAATACATTTTTATTTGATAAATCATAGAAAAATAATAAAACTCATTTTATATATAACTTATTTCTAGACGCTATAATTTTTCTCAACTATTTTTCTGCCATTGCTCTTTTTCTCTTATAAGGAAATTATAAATTTAATGAATTAAATAATGTATTTGTTTCCAGAATCCTGGCTACATGAAAGAGAACTTCGTTATTTGCATAGAGTCTCTACATTTACCTGACGGCGGCGATCAGAACAATGTAAGTAAGATTATGCAATAACATATTCATTTACCGTCGCCGCAAAAATATCCACTATCTTTCAACATTTCGTGGTTGTTTTAAAAGGCAACAGAGAAAAATGAAACAAGAAAAAAAGTTAAAAGAAATCTGAAGATGGCAATCTGTCAAATGTTGAAATTATGGCAAATATTCCCTCTATGAAGCAATGTCTATTGGGAAGATCTAGAGCGTCGCCAAGTGTAAAAGTTGTTTGTTGTTTCTTGTTTAATACCCAATAATATAGCCTCAATTCGTCCTTGGCTCAATTTTCCAAACAGCTACGTCAACATTTTCATAAAAAGTCAAGTTATATTTCTAAGTAATGTAAGACAAACAACTCCCACGCCTATACGATAGCGATATGATAATTGTTGAGATTTATTTAAATAAAATAAATTTAATTCATTCTGTAACTAACGATCTTCGAAATAAAATTAAATCATTTTATATTTTAAATTGTGTATTTTAAAAAGACTGTCGAGGTTCGTCGCAATTTAAGTACCTACTTTATAATAAAAGCTTTAAGCCAAAATGAAAATTACGTTTCATATTAAAATAAATTTTACAAGACAAAGCCGATATAGTCGATATCGATTATAGCAAAAAAGTTTTGTTTGTGTTTTCAGCATTCGAAAGTGTCAACATCTATACAAATAAATAAAATTGAAGGGTCTGTTTGTAATGTGATAATTACAGTATTTTACTAAATGCATATGTAAGCAAATACGGTACTTATAACTAAAATACAATTTTTAAAAATTTTGTCTGTCTGCCTGTCTGTTCCGGCTAATCTCCGAAACGGCTAGACCGATTTTGACGCAACTTTCACTGGCAGATTAGCTGATTTCATAACTTAGGCTACTTTTATTTAAAAAAAAGAATTAGGGTTCCGCGCAAAAACATAAAACCCTAACACGCGAGCGAAGCGAGGAACAGCTAGTTCAGCTAGCACACAGTCCACCTGATGGTAAGTCGCCACTGCGACCCATAGACATCTACATCTATCCTCAAATAATAATATTCGGTAAATAGAGGCGAACATGTATGTGTGGAGGGATGTGATTGCCAGTAATATTCGATATTTGCGATTATTAGTCTATCTTATGCCGCGTAGTCGATTTTTTAAGCGCGAATCCAAGAATTTCGCCGAAACATTTGAACCACATGATATACGTTCTTTCAGCCTGAGTTTAATCGCGGTTCCGCGCTACCGATTGGTTGTATTTTCTTAATACGTGTAAATTTAATAAAACGAAGCAAGTTTGAATTCGAAAGAAATGGATGTATACTAAACAATACTGACCTTGTTCTGTTCCGATGATTAGTTATCGATCGCATTCTTTTCTCCATCTCATTCACAACTTTATTGCATTTAAATGATCGCCTGCCTGGTTGATCATGCGGTTGTAAACGCAACTTCAGATCATGTGGTCCTAGGTTCAAATAAGGGGTCTGGTCAAACATCATTTATAGGGGGTTTCCATCAAAAATGTTCACTAGCAACTCTTGTCTCGTCATCTCTTTCCGTTGTCGTCTTCGATCGAAAGGAAAAAAATTGAAGCGCTTTGAATTTCCCAATTGACGAGACGAGACACAATATTCCAATCTGATGGAGGTCAGTCATACATTTATTTTTTAAATTGACAATGATTACACGCCGTTAGAAGAGCCTCGGTGTGGTGCGTGGTTGCCCGTGGTCGTCAGCAGTCCGTAGTATAGTCTGCAAATTCTGCAATATCATAAAAAATACAAAAGACATAATAAGTGAAGACTTCATCGTACAGTTGATTTAGTTCTTGCCTATATTCTGCTTGCAGGTAACACATGTAAGTCTTAGAACAAAATTAATATTATTTGCACACGTCATACCATATTGTTCCCTCCAATGATTGCTTTTTCTTCAAAATATAATTATGAAAATGTGACAAAATTATATAATTGAATAAAAAGCACCGGATGCAACTTTTTTTTTATTGAATAAGAGTGACAAATGGATACGATAGTCCACCTGGTGGATGGTAAGTGATTGCTGTGGCTCATAGACATCTACATCTATCCTCGATGCCGAATCAAAATTCAGATGCGTTGTCAACCGTGAGGATTAAGGTAGAATGCTTCATTTCCAGTAAAAAGGGTCTCCAGTTCTCTACACTCACGATCACGATATGAAACAGGGCGTTAAGCTGCTATTTTACGCTGGTATTCTGTGAGAGTGTGATTCATCCCCGGCCGAGTCGACCCATTTGTGCTGCAACCATAATATAGCTGCAGCGTGGTTCCACCACATGTAAATTTTATTTTCGTTATTTATTTTCAAATAATTAAATATTTAAGTTCAATTCCCGACCAGTTCTTCATAAATGTCTTATATTGGAATTGTCTAATATTCTCCTACTGAATGAAGTTATAATCATTTTTAGCCTTTGCAAAAAAACGAATAGGCACAGACCTTAATAGGTACATTCCCATTTTCCATCATTAGGTGTTAAAAAGTCCGTTTCTATTCATAGGCCTCTTTCAAGTCGTTCATCGCGATGATTTTCCCCAATAGTTCATATCAAAATAACTGACGCCCACATTCATTGCTTTGGGTATTTATGATGCCATAATTGAAATGGTTTGTTCCGCAATTTCGCAAAAGTGAAGACATTCTACTGTCAAAACAAAACTTAGTCCAATATAGCGACTGCCACGCTAGATGATAATATTCTTACGCTACTAGTAATGTAAAGCGTACTTACATTTTATATCATTATATGCTGTATTTGTGTAACTAAAATTTTAAAGAACACGTATTCAAGACGTATTATTATGGTTTGCGATTGAATTCCTTAAAATACAATCATATAATACGTGCTAATATTGACTCACTGCAGATACGTATATCAGTCTGCAAAATTAAATGCCACTATCGATGCCAAAGAAAAGTGCCGTCGACAACGACCTTGCCTCTGATACTAAGATAACGGTGCGGGCATGACGCCGCTGGAAAATGAATTTCGTCTACGTTTTCAATTAAACTATTTAGTGTACGATATTACAAATTATTAATATCAGATTATTATAATCAATATTAAATAAGTCTAATCAACGACAGTATTACCCTGCTACCACCATATTTATTTGTGGATACGGAATATAATATTTTCAAGAACAGTTGGTCATATAATGTGGTTTTATCGCAGACCGTACGTTCACATATGACCCGTGAAGAAAGTTAATTATTTTAAATATATACATATTTTAAATTGTTTTTTGTTTATCATGGCTTCCTAAGAGACTGACAGGTCACAATCTTGACCCTTTACACTTCAAAACAGTTGCCCTAGTGACACATTTCGTGGCACTTTGTCAGCTTTGTATGGTGCCAACTGGAAATTATAAAATTTAAACTTAAATTTATTATAAAAGTTGCTCACCTATTTTTATGATTTATGGATTTCTATTTCCGATATTTTTGTCGTCAAACCTTTAATAGGTTATTTTTAAAAGCTTAATATTGATTAAGGCTTCACATCTCTTAGTATATTTTCACCGAGGCAATCCCGCCTAAATATGTTAGTTATTGGTGTTTTAGTTGTTTTCATTATTGGATATTGGTATATTTCTAATAAGGTATTCTCAAAATAATATTTAATAATTTATATAAATTTTGTGGCTGCATTACTTTTGGTCCGATTTACGCAGAATGAGCATTGTGTTGTCTTGAAGTCTTGCAGTGGTATTCTTGGGTTTAGTTTTAATTTTATTAATTACAGGAACCCAAGCAGGTGATCGTAATTAGGATATTGGTGTTTGCAGGAGTGTACAAGCTTGATTCTTTTATATAGGGCAAACAAAACTATCTCTAATAACTCGCGTAAAAGAACATATAGCTGACGTGAAACAAAAACGCTCCGGGAAGTCTGTATTTTGTGAACATATCTTAGACGGCCCTCGCCATTACATCATCATTTGATAAACCACAAATCCTCGCGAAAGAACATCAATTTCGACTAAGAATGATACGTGAGGGTATTGAAATTAAAAAAAGACATCTTAACTTCAATAGAGAAGGAGGATGGGATGCTGTAATTAATAAAACTAAACCCAAGCATATCACTGCAAGATTTCAGGACACAGTAAGTTCATTCTGCGTACATCGGACCAAAAGTAATAATTAAAAAGATTAAGGTATTTCTGGTCAACTCTGACATCGGGACGTCATTCAGCTCTGTCCGCCGTGACCACGGGTGCTGCAAAGCACCTGAAACGTCGGGAATTAAAAATAAGTAGAATTAAACGCGATAAAATCTGTAAAAGTAGTTTTAAACTAATGTCAAATATATAAATAATGATATACCGTTATTGCAATTTTTGAAGATACGAGGAAATAAGGCTTCTACTTTTATTTGAATACTTATTCTGAATCTTCTCTGGCCGGTTATTGCAAAATAACCATGTATTTTCTGCCGACTTCCAAAAAGGAGACTGTACTCAATTCGACTGTATGTTTTTCTGGTAATGTGTGTTACCTCATAACTTTTTACTGGGTGTACCGATTTCGATGATTCTTTTTTTTATTAGAAAGCTGGTACTTCTCGTGTGGTCCCGTATGAATATGATCAAGGTCAGACCAATAGTTCTCTAGACTCTCTAGACTCAATAGGCTGTACAAAATTTTAAATTTTAAATTATGCAATAAACATTCGTAAGGGTCGATCGGTAAGCAAAAACGTTGTTGCCCATACCATACATCACATTAAATTTGGGATAATTTCAAATAAAAGTAGAAAGCCTTATTTGCTCGTATTTTTAAAAACTGCAATAACGGTATGTCATTGTTTATATATACTTAAGTTTAAACTTTGGCTACTCTTTGAAAAATAACCCTGTATGTCTGTTTCATATTCGCCCGTAACTCACAACCTAGTGTGTTTGGATTTTAACAAATGATATATCAATTGATTTGTCATAACTCCGCGGGTAACTTAAAAAGA